GACTTAGGGTAAATAGTAGTAAATCAAGCATGCGTTTCTCCTCAGGCTAATACCCTCCCTCGTTACACGCACCCGTCGAACTCCCGCCCGTACGCTATCGCTGCCCACCACTTTCTCTCTCATCACTTCTCTCTCTCTCTCTCTCTCTCTCTCTCTCACATGCCCCATTCCTCTCCACCATGCGTGACGACACCAGTTCCAAGGCTCGCCTTCAAAAACCCCTGATCTCTCTCAAAACCCTCGTTATCTGCATTCCAATGGCATCAGTCATTACTCTCTCTCTCCTCCTCCTCTTTCTCTCTCCTCTCCCTGCCACCCTCTCTAAACCACCGCCCATAAACCACCTTCCCCACCCCAAAATTGGGGTCCCCAAGCCCCCAAAACCACCAAATGGAAGCACCCAACAAAACCCAAATGATGTTTCTCCCCTTATTCAATCAGCCTGCAATTCCACCCAGTACCGAACAACCTGTGTAACCTCTCTAATGAAAACCACCTTTCCCACTCCAAATCCATTGGCCATTGACATTGTTTTAGCATCAATGGACCTTTCTCTTGAATCCCTGAAAACTGCTCAATCCATGTCCAAAACCATCTTGGATTCTTCTTCAGGTAACATAAACCAGTCTTCAGCTGCCAAAAATTGCCTTGAATTCTTGAACTACTCCTCTATGAGGCTCTCATCGTCCAGAAACCAGGAAACAGTTAAAACCCACATCAAAGATGTGAAGGCCTATCTGAGTGGATCATTACTTTACCAATATGACTGCTGGTCTGCATTGAAATATGTCAATACAACCAGTCTTGTGAATTCCACCATGGCTTATTTGAATTCTCTAATGGAGCTAACAAGCAATTCACTGAGCATGGTTTATGCCTTGGATTTTTATGGGGCTGATACCACCACTTGGAAACCACCCAAGACAGAGAGGGATGGATCTTGGGGTAGTTTTGGTGGTGGTAACAGTGCCTTTCATGGGAAAAAAGGTGGTTTTGGGGGTGGCAAGAAAGGTGGTTTGAGAGATGGGGATGGTGGTTTTTGGGATGAGAAGGTGGTTTTGGAGGGGATGAAGGTGGATGCAACTGTTTGCAAGGATGGGGCCTCTGGATGTTTGACACGTGTACAGGATGCAGTTGATGGAGCGCCTGATTATGGGAAGGGCAAGTATGTCATTTATATAAAGGAAGGTGTGTATGGGGAGGTAGTGAGAGTTGGGGTGAGCAAGAGGAATTTGGTATTTGTTGGGGATGGGATAGGGAAGACTGTAATTACAGGGTCTATGAATGCTCAACAACCAGGAGTTTCAACCTACAACACTGCAACTGTGGGTAAGTGGATCCTATCCTTTTTCTTGTTAATAACTTAGTTGAAATAATAATTTATTAGTATTATGATATTAGTTTTCACTTCATAGTAATAAGAGCAGGTAATAGGTTGGAGCAGAGTGGTTGTGATATGATCCTTTTGTGGTTGAATTTTATGACTTTGCGAAAATCTTGGGAGAATTTGGTATAGGGCAGTGATTTCATGCTAACGGTTGGTTGCATAGTAATATATGTATTTTATTCTTTGTGCTTGGCTTTGATTATGCCAAGTGGGGTATTTTGGTAATTTAGAATACTCGAGTTACATGATAGAAAAGATTTGAGTTCTTTTGTAAAATATAGTTACTCGAATTGTTCTCCGTTCCACCCCCAAAACATGTTTTTATGTTTTTTTAATGAATAAGTGTTTTGCGTTTAGAATCCGGAGATCATGATGGGCATTTTTTGACATTTGGCTCAAATATGAGCGACCAAACTATCAAAATGATTTGGATTTCAAATATGGAACAAGAAGTCTTGGACATTTTCTGATAAAATAGTTGAGAAAGTAACCTAAGTAAAATTCTTTTTGGAAATCAAATAAGTGCATTAATTTAATTAGAACCATTGATCTTTGGGTGTAGTTTGTATAAGGTTGAGCCCTAAACAGTCAAAATAAGGCGCACCTTCAGATACTGTTGAAAGGTATTGTTTCAATAGTTTAAATCTTTGTGATGGCCTAAAACTTTGTTTTCATCTCTAATTATAAAATTTTCAGCTTAAAAAATAATCTGTTTTCATCGGGCATATCTATGAATACTTGAAAATCTTGAAAACTGATGGTCCAAAAAAAGACATTACAAATGCACTATTTTCAATAGGGAACAATTTATGCAGGGGCGAGGCTCTAAACAAAGGCCGCACCTCAAAAATCCACTACAAGAGGTTGCTTTGAAGCCCCAAAAATCCCCAAATTGATCATCTCGACCTCAAATCAAATTGATCAGCACCACTTCAAGATGTATGGATATGAGACAAAATAGATTTCAAGTCTTAAAAATAGTGTATCTGCATTTTCAAACCTTCAATTTTCAAGTTTTCCTAGATCTACCCGATCTACACTACTTTTGAAGTTTTGAATTCTATAATTAGAGATAAAAATAAATTTTCAAGCCATCACCAAGATTTTCAGTATTGAAACAACATCTTTTAACACCATTTAAAGGTGCGCTTTACTTTGATTGTTTAGAGCCTTTGCCCTATAGAAACTGCACCCTTTCCAAAAACTTGAAATTCATTTTTTCTCAATTCCATACATCTTGAAGTCGAGATGATCGATTTGATGATTTTTTAGCATCTGAAGAACCTCTTTTGTTTAGGGCCTCACCACCCTTATATAAACTATTTCCTTGACCTTTTATGTAGTTTGACCAAGTTCTTGCTATTTTCGCAGTTAATTTGTTGGGTGTGGAACATCTGTCATTCATGTCTGGCTTTGTCTGTTTCACTGCTTACATTCTTCTCATTGTTCACATGAAAAATTGTATTTTGAACATGGTTTTGAAATTCGTCCAAGTCGTCTCTGAATCAGCACCGAGTCGAGTTCCAAGGAACAAATTCGGTTTCATAAAAAAAAATATTAAAATCATAATTGTATGATTTTTTTACTAAACCAACATAGACATATTTCATATATAATTTTGATGTTTTGATTATGATTTGTGAATTTTCTTATCATAAGCTGTATATTTGTATTTTCCCTTTTTTTGGATCATTCTAAATTGTTTCTGGCGATAAATCAATTTTTTTCTAAATTCCATTATTTATTTATTTCAATCCTTTTTGGATAGGTTGCCTTTTTAATGTTTTTCTTTTTATTTTCATCAAAATATGTATATTTTTTTATAAGCCCTTTTTTTTTTTTTTGCCTCTTACACTACTCAAGTCCTCTTCCCTTTTTGTGAATTTTCTTACTCGAGTAACTCGGCTCCGGCAAAGTCTAAGTCCTGAGAGGCAAGTAAATGAATCTTGATTTTGAAAATTTTACAAAAAAAAAAATCCATGACTTGTCTTGTTTAGGGATAAACTCCAAGCCTGAGTGACGCAAGTCTTTTTGCCCGAGTTCTTAACCCATGTATGCTTTGTTTTCAACCTCTGGAGTTCATCAAGCTTATTCCTTATTTCTCTATTGTCTTTCTGAAAGTGAACCTCTTCTGAGTCCTTGTCTCATTTTTCTAGGGATCAATGGTGATGGTTTCATGGCGAGGGACATAACATTTGAGAACACAGCTGGGCCAAATAGTCATCAAGCTGTGGCCCTGCGCTCTGACAGTGATCTCTCCATCTTCTTAAATTGTGAATTCCTGGGTAACCAAGATACTCTCTATGCTCACTCCATGCGCCAGTTCTACAAATCTTGTCGCATCGAGGGCAACGTCGATTTTATCTTTGGCAATTCAGCCACTTTCTTCCAGGACTGCATTATACTAGTCCGGCCTCGCCAGCTCAAGCCTGAATCGGGTGAGACAAACGCAGTAACTGCCCAGGGTCGCACTGACCCCGCACAAATCACAGGCTTTGTGTTTGAGAATTGTCTGGTAAATGGAACCCAAGAATACATGGGCTATTACTATAAAAAACCAAAGGCCCATAAGACTTACTTAGGCCGGCCATGGAAGCAGTATTCTCGAACAATTTTCGTGAGGTGTTACATGGATGTTCTGATAACACCTGAAGGGTGGTTGCCTTGGAGTGGGGACTTTGCGCTCTCGACGCTCTATTATGGCGAATATGGGAATTCGGGCCCCGGGGCAAATCTCTCTGGGAGGGTACCATGGTCTAGTCAGATTCCATTAGAGAGACTGTCTCTATATTCCATAGAGAGTTTTATACAGGGTGATCGATGGATCACAGGTGGATAGAAATAGTTCTTTAGAACAGAGAGCTTGTGAACTCTGATCCACAGTTGAAGTTCAGTCATTTTTTATTTGATCTTCATCGTTTAATATTCCTAAAAAAATTTAAGTGGAAGATCTCTTGAACTCAAAACCACGGTTCAATTCAAGTAACTTGTAAAGAAAAAGGATCGACGAACATGTTACTTCGAAATGGACGTTAGAATAAGTGAACTCTCAACTCCTTGAGTTTCCCTGATCCTTCCTACAGTAAACCCTAAACCCCCAACACCAACAATACCCATATTACCTCTCAAGCTCCCATCAAAATCGAGTACCCCAATCCTTCCTACAGTAATTGCCATGTCCTTCCTCTTCTAGGCTTTCTGTAATGCAGTCTCACAGCTATTATGGTGTTAAACATTGTCTCCTCCTTGGTTACACTTGCAGATTTTCTCCTTGCAAGTGCCCATGAAGCTGACATTGCTAATATATGTGACTTTATGCGATTGGCATCCAATTCTTTACCCTCAAAAGATCGTTGGTTGCGGTCTCTTTCTTCGCGAATTAGTTTGAAGTTCTTTTGAAAGATTGATGTGGTACTTCAAGATCAATTGTAGGATGTTGTTTGTATACTCTGAAAGGAAAACTATGCAAAGAGGCATTTACTTCTGATACAAAGAGGTCACAACTACTTTTGTCTGACATATTTCAAATAAATAAGAGTATTATTGGATAGATTCAAAGTTTTAAAAAAAAAATCTCTTAATTTGTAACATACCTTAAGCCGTCCAATTTGACATTTAATAACTATAAATAATTGTGACCTTTTTATATCAAAGATAAATGTTCCCATAATATACAATCCTACTTTAAAAGCCTAATCAAACTTACAAAGGTTTCGAAATATAATGCTAAGCGTGTGGTTTGTATGGGGTGTAAACTTCAAATAATCAAAAGTAAGAGTACCTCCAAGCCTTGTTTGAAGATGAAGTTCTAGTGCCAAAAACCCTTTTTTAGCTTTAAATTAAATAATTAAGGGTGAAAATAGATTTGAAAATCTAGCTGATTGATAAATACTTGAAAATCATAAGAAATAGATGGTCTAGATAATGTGCTAGATGTATTATTTTTTCAGACTAGGTAAGTCAATAATTCAACTAGCTAAGTCAATAATTGAACAAATATGTTGAAGCTAAACGAGTTTCGGTTCACTATGTATTAAAGACAAGCTAGGTCAATAATTTTATGTGTAGTTCAATAGGGATGAAGTCCTCTACTCGTGAAAGAAATGTTACTAAGGATATCATGTTGCGGCAACCCACCACCTTAACTTAAACAACTTTTGTTTAAACTAATCTAGTTTTGCTTTCCATATTAGCATAAAAATGTGGCTCAAGAATTTTTTTTTTGTGCTACTATATCCATCATCATCATAGCATTTTCACAATTAATTGGTATAGGCTACTATATCCAAACTCCCCTAAAAAGGACTGGTGTTTCTAATATAAAGCAGGTGATATTAATAGACATTGTGCTTTAGTGTATTGGGCTCTAGTATGGATTCTCTTGAATAAACTTGGCAAATCAAGGGTCATGTGTTCAGAAAAACCACAATCAAATGCAAGACCATTGAAGGTACCCAAAACTGCTGCAATGCATTCATGCTGTATTAGCCATCACCCTTCCATGAAAATCCCCAAATATCAGCACGAGGTCCTCTAATTATACCCCAAAACTGTTAAAAGAAGAGCACTGGAAATCCGTTAGGGTTTAGAAGCTTTGTCTTGACCTCCTATCCAAATAGCACTTTTATTTGAGGGAATAAATGGGTGGTTTGCTCAGTGGGGTCTAAATCATTTTTTTGATCTATGCTAAATCTGAAATTTTGAGCTTTTTTTTTTTTTCATCTTGGGCTCAAAATTTTTTATCTGATTTGTATTTATATTAGTTTAAATTAAAATCGTATTTGAAAGTTGTTTTATTTATTTTTCATCTCGATTTTTTTTATGTTGTAGTATATTTTCTCGTATATTTGCATTTTTTTTCAACAGCCAATGTTTAATTGTTTTTTATTTTTTTGTTTTCATTTAATAATGTGGTTTGGTTTGCCTAGGGTTGGGAATCGGGTTGACTCGACGATACGGCTGGTTGACCCAATCCAGGTCCGGATCCAAGTTTTGGACAGGGTGGGTTAGGTCTGGGTTCAAGTTGACCCAACCT